GCTTTGTTGATTAGATGCTCACTAGACAATTGCAGATCTCGGTAAGCTCATGCATACAGAACATGACTGTTAGCGTTCTCCTCCGAGCACGATAAGCCGCCCAATAATGTTGCATAAGCAGTTTCAAAAGATGTGTTGGCATCATGTCTGTTATCCCATTTTATACCAGAAGCAAGGTGGCATACTGCCACAACTACAATATTTTTCACCTTACACTCTGTGTGTCATGATTCCCCCGTGCAACAGCGCGCATGGAATGCTGTTGCGCATGCGTGGACCGCTTCGGGTCCACATCATGTCTTCGTCCCGTCTCGTCATGGATCACGAGTGTTTTGGAACTGCCCGCAGCTGTTAGCAGTTTGGAGCTAATCAGACTATGGGCATATATACCGGGAGCCATGCTACTCACGGCGCGGGTAATTGAATGTAGATAAATGTAAACTTAGATAATGCTAAACTTAAGAGTGTTTCGGTTCCATGCCATATTCCATTGTTAATCTTCCATGTCATAGTCTAGGTCTAGGCTAGTTAGCAGAGAAGCTAAAGCTAATAACGTAGCTTAGTTTCTAGCCGAGAGGTGTTCAGGTTAACTTATAGTTGTGTAGACTCGATATATATAGATAGATATCGGGAGGCTTCGAATAGACATAGGGAATGTCTCCATGCTATGTTATGTTTCTTGTTCTTGTTCACAGTTATAGTCCATGCCTTGGTTTGTGTTTAGGGTACAGAGTTAATGTATAGCATAGTTTAGCTTAGTTCATGGTGTTTGTCATGTGTTTTGTTTCTTGTTTCTTTTGTGTCTGCTCTTTGTTTAAATAAAAGGTCTCGTCTGCACTGCAACTGCATCCTGCCTGCTTTCTGCCGTCACACCCCATTACAGAATTACCCGCCGAAACCATGGATGAAGCACGAGGACGAGTGAGAAGGCAAGAAAAAAGGGGAGTAAATGGATATTCCTGCGTCGGGGCATGCACGGATTACTGGCCGCGTTTTTTGTCCGTGCAATTCCCCCTGAGGTACGACGCAGAGCTTCCTCTTGCGACAATGCCATCGGGGAGCTACCCGTTGGAGTTTATGATGGAATGCCAGGTGTATTTTTGTAGCCTGGCCTATCCCAAGCCTTCTCAAGAACAATGGATCAAGTTCATGGTGTCAAGATTCTGCGGTCCGGCCCGTGACTGGGCGGAGCAGCTGGTGAGTGATGGGTCACCAGCCATCCATGATGTCATGCAGTTTTCTGAACTTTTTATGAATAAGTTCTCACAGCCCAGACAATTACGTGGACTTGACTTACTGGGGTGGAGAGTTAATGGACAGCCCCAGTCTGATCCACCCTTCAGCATCTATTTATGAGGAGAGAGAAAGGGCAATCACCTCTCATCCCGGTAAGTAAAGGCCACTCATTTCCAAATCTGCTGACCCAATTCTCAGAGTTCCTCTCAGATCCAAGCCTCAAGTTCCAGCCACAGCTAAGTCCCCAGTCCAAGCTCCGTCCCAAGTCCAAGCTCCGTCCCAAGTCCCAGCCAAAGTCAGGTCTCAAGTCCCAGCCACAGTCAAGCCACAAGTCACGGCCAAGCCTCACGTTCCAGTCACTGCCAAGCCGCCAGTCCCGGCCACGTTCACGTCTCACGTTCCAGCCACAGCCAAGTCTCACGTCCCAGCGACAGCCAAGTCTCACGTCCCAGCCACAGCCAAGTCCCAAGCTACAGTCACGCCTCCAGCCTAAGCCACAGTCACGCCTCCTGCCCAAGCCACAGTCACGCCTCCAGTCCAGGCCACAGTCACAGCTCCAGTCCAGGCCACAGTCATGAACCCCAATCCAAACCACACATCAAGTTCAAGCCAAGGCTGAGTCCCAGGTCCGAACCGAAGCTGAAGCTCAAGTTCAGCCTCAAGCTCCTGCCGTCCAAGCTCAGTCTCAAGTCCTTGTTCACGCCAAGTCCCCAGGTTCAATCCAAGCCACGCCTTCAGTTCCGGACCTCCAAGTTCAGTCTCAAGTCTCTGATGTCAAGGCCCAAGTCACATCAAAGGTCTCTGACGCCCAAGTTCCTGCCAAGTCTCAGGTTCCTGACATTCCTACCAAGTCTGAGGTTTTGTCATGATTCCCCCGTGCAACAGCGCGCTTGTAGTCCCGTATCGTCATGGATCACAAGTGTTTTGGAACTGCCCGCAGCTGTTAGCAGTTTGGAGCTAATCAGACTGGGGGCATATATACCGGGAGCCGTGCTACACACGGCGCGGGTAATTGAATGTAGATAAATGTAAACTTAGATATCGCTAAACTTAAGAGTGTTTCGGTTCCATGCCATGTTCCATAGTTAATCTTCCATGTTCTAGTCTAGGTCTAGGCTAGTTAGCAGAGAAGCTAAAGCTAATAGCATAGCTTAGCTTCTAGCCGAGAGGTGTTCAGGTTAACTTATAGCTGTGTAGACTCGATATATATAGATAGATATCGAGAGGCTTCGAATGTCTCCATGCTATGTTATGTTTCTTGTTCTTGTTCGCAGTTATGGTCCATGCCTTGGTTTGTGTTTAGGGTACAGAGTTAGTGTATAGCATAGTTTAGCTTAGTTCATGGTGTTTGTCATCTGTTTTGTTTCTTGGTCCTTTTGTGTCTGCTTTTTGTTTAAATAAAAGGTCTCGTCTGCACTGCAACTGCATCCTGCCTGCTTTCTGCCGTCACACCCCGTGACACTGTGAAGCTTGCATGCATTCAATACATGTGTTGTGGAGCATTCACTTCTGTGCTTTCTTGCACTGATTTTGTAAACATAATATGCAAATATCTTTATTGACCATCAGATTCTAAACATGCACTACCACACCATATGGTCACATAAAGTTTGTTAATTCAGTGTGACTCTAGTTTGTTCTTCTACACTCTTTGAAACATGCAGTTTGAATTTTATAAATGTGAAAACTTTTTCCACTGTTCTATGAGAGCGTACCTTGCTCTACATATACTTTTGCAACTTTTTTTATATGGACTTAGTAGTGCGAATTGTTACAACTTTGCAAGCATGACACAATGTTAGTATATTCTATGGCTGATACGGTATGCAAAAAGCAAAGGAAGTTGTAATGGAATGGCCACTACCTTGTTGTCTGCCTAAAACCAAAGCATGAAAAGCTGTGAAATCTTCAAAAGGCACCAGGGTTGATGAGCTCCCCAAAGAGGGTAGGACTTAGGCTTTATAACAGGGAGATTTTGCCAGTGTGTGCAATTTTAATTGCACTCCTATTGCTTGCCCCTAGCCCCTTTATTTCTCCCACCCACTCTTTCTCTCTCTCTCTCTCTCTCTCTCTCTCTCTCTTCTCTCGTCTTGCTCTATCTCTCTGGCCTTCAAAGGGAAACTCATTCACTCTATTTTAATTTCAGAAAGTAACCCCGAGGACGAAACCAGAGCCACTCATGTGCAAAACTTCTTTATTTCAAAATGACATTACAGTGTTATTGTGGAGTATGACACCACTCAGGACTCTCCGGGTATTCAGAAACCAAAGCTGACTTCTCCCACAGTGTCAAAGTACAGTGCTCATGTACTCAGCCATAAAAGCTGGGTAAGTGCTCCTTTTTATGCACAGCTACCTAGTTATGCAAAAACTAGACCACCTTATATCACTGTGTAAATGACATCTTGAGCCAAAAATGTCCTGCACATTTTTAAGATGATACACAGTGTTTTGTATTCCTGGTTTCTTTTATGTTTAGGTGTTTCATAGTTCCAGTGTTTTTCTGATCCTCCCTCTTTTCACTCTTGTAAAAGAGGTTTTAACCTCTGTGGACTTGTCCCCATACAATGACATGAAAATCTGTCAAAGCTTTTATTCATCTTATTTGAATTTAATTCCATGTCATGAGGAAGTGGGTGTCAAATGGGTTATATGTCTCAGAATACAGCGACCACAGCTTTGAAGAGTGGCTCTGATGTCTGCAGGAATCAACTTGCCCCCCTTTATGTTTGGAATTCCTTGTCCTGTTTTTTTGTGAAAGAGTTCTTCTAGGCTCAGAGCTTCACACACCAGTCTCCAGTGCTCTGGCAGGGCAGTGTAAGATGAGTATAATGTGGTGTTGGCCACCTTACCCTTTAGCAAAGACCGTTCATCAAACACATTTACACTTGGTTTTGTTCTCACTCTGTTCTTTGTTTGCACTGCTGTAAAGAACCACAAATGAGCTAAACCGGTCAAAGATACAGTGGGAATTAGGGCTACTCTGATCCGTATTATTGAACTCCGAGGAAAGATGCATTCACACTGCAGAACAGATGCAAACTATTCATAGTAGTCAAAGTAGAGAAATATAGAATTATACATGGAGTGTAAAGTAGGCTATTCATCATAAACTAGCATTATATTATGTGAGGTGTAATAAACATTTACATTTAATCAAGCCCACATCACTCCTCTGAAAAAGTAACATCATCTTTATCTCGAATCAAGCGAGACACTATGGGAGAGAGAAAAAAAATACTTCATGCCTCTATCCTAATCACGCTGCATTTCATCAGCCAATATGCTAGCAAAGTAGCCAGCGCTAATAACACAAAAATTCTCTCTCTCTCTCTCTCTCTCTCTCTCTTCATATTCCTAAATTGGAGAATGTGGGACTCAGACCCCCTTGTAAGTCACATCAGCAGGTTGCCAGCTAGTTCTGAAACAACAAATCAAAAATGTGTGTGTACCACAGTGAACTTGTTTCCAACACACACTTTTTTGGTGTAGTTTCAGGTCATTTTGTGAAACCATATTATATTGAGACATCACTGTGCTGTATTGAATTTGAAATTTGTGTATCATTATATCCCTAATAGAGTATAGTGTGAATGTGAAAAATCTATTTCAATGAAAAGAGAGCTGTAATTACTGTTATAAAATCTATGTTTTAAATCCCTTTACTAATTATTGTAGATGTTTTTTTTGGTTTGTTTGGGTTTATTTTATCAGGGTTTAGGTCATTTTAAAATGTATTTTATTATTTTGAATATTATTATGGGGGCACAGTGGTTTAGGGGTTAGAATATTGACCTCGCATCACCAGGGTTGGGGGTTCAATTCCTTCCTGTGCTCTGTGTGCATGGAGTTTGAATGTTCTCCTTGTGCTTTGGGGGTCTCCTTCAGGTCCTCAGTTTCCTCTCCCAGTCCAACGACATACGTCGTAGGCTGATTGGAATCTCTAAATTGTCCATAGTATGTGAGTGTGTGTACAATTATGCTTTGCAATGGGTTGCCAACTCATCAAGGATGTCCCCCGCCTTGTGCTCGAGTTTCCTGGGATAGGCTCCAAGCTCCCTGTGACCCTGTACAGGATAAGTAACAGAAACAAGATAAGGTACAGAGGATGGATGGATGGATCAATTGATTATCTCTGATCATTCGGCTGTTTTTTAATCTACTGTGCATTTAATCACATAAATATCTCAATTCAAGTTCAACCCATGTATACATCCATGGGATATTATGAGACTTACACAAGAGCACAGATGTACAGCCAATATTGTGTATGTGCGCTGTTGCTGATATTTTGCAGTTGTCTAATTAAATATGCTGATTAATGAGTGCTTTTGGTTAGTGATATATATTGGCATCAGTCTGCACACCAGCTAAATCAATCCAGTGGTTTACAAAAGTTACCAAAGTGATAACAGAATAAGTACACAAAAAAGTGATTATTTTCATAAGTTGTTTGTAAATAACAAAAGAGCTATTTTATAGTTCAATTAAAATTCTACAGAAGGGGAGAATGTTCTTCTTGTGTACTTTTTTTATTTACTTTTTATCATACTGGCTGCTCTCTCTACATCTTTCCCTTGGTGTCTGTGTGATGATTTAGAGGATTTCTGAGTTCAGCAGGGTTTGACTTTTCAAAAGAGCAGGGCCATTGATCAGACAGCTCTATGGCCAGGAGTAGAGCCCGGTCTGCCGGCTGGATTTGCAGTTAACGCCTGGGTCGGTCCCTGGAGTATGAAGCCTAGTAGCGCACACACACACATACAAACACACGCACGCACACATTTTTCATATCGTGTGAGAATTGTGTGAATAGTAAACTATTATAGTGCTGTATGCAAATTTACTGGAATGATATAACTATGTAACAAAGCAAGGGATTAGATTATATGATTCATGTTTTCAGTACTTCAGAGTTGCTCTCAGAGTGAGCCAAGTGCTAAGTTGTTTCAAGTTGGAGATTATTGGTGAGTTTTAACATTTATAAATCTGTGCTGTTTCTAATTTAATAACACAAAGAGGATCTTTACAGTTGCAGGATATGGGAAAAACAGATGTGGTCTCCCTTCTGGAGGGAACCTTGGCAGAGAGATCAAGCATTCTCCATAAACATAATGGGGCTGTGTAAACTGACATGGATTAACCCGCATAGGGCTATATTGCTTAGACAGTGCAGTCTATATTTAAGCATTTTTTTCTGTTCTGCAAAATTCCTTAGAGATTTGCTAATAAAGTGTTAAATATCTATCTACATTTGTGCATTTTGATATTGGACAGATTGCTTAAAGATGGCCTTTTTTCAGAAAAAATGTACACTAAATTATATTCTATTTCTGGTTTATTTATTTTTTTATTGTCCTTTAGTGTCTACAGTAATGGCTGAATGTGTGCTGCCTATCTACATATGTATCGATCTACCTTTTTGTAGGTTTTTGTCTGTGTTTTAGATTTTGCTCAATTCACCTCGTGTGTGTGTGTGTGTGTGTGTGTGTGTCCTTCAGTTTCTACCATAGTGGCTGTATGTGTGCCTGCCTTATCTAGATGTCCTATTTATTGATCGCAAGACATTACTGATAACGGAGGCGGAGAAGCACATCCCCCAGCCCTCCTCTTTAATAAACCCTTTTTCACCCATTCACACACACACAATCACACACAGTGACACTGAGCCAACAGATAATACTCCACGCTTGATGTAGTTCATCAAGTGAGGATTTATTTTTTTTTAATCATTATATAACATGGAACCACTATTAAAAATAGTTGAATTATGTGTAAATTTACCAACAAGAAGCATGATCCTAGATCACAGTTCTGGTTCTTCGTTGTGTGCCAAGTTTAAGTTTGGGTTTGCGTTTATTATGATTTTATGAATTATGTAGAATGTAATTAAAAGTGTGATATTAGCATTACATGTAAAATAATCAAAACTAAAGAAAATGATTAAAATACATTACTGTGCAAAAATCTCAGGCAACCTATTTTTGTTAATACAAACTTTGTCATTGATTTTTATTTTATGACTTCTGCATTATCAAGTCAAAAAGCTGTTCAGATTTCCAAACATCCATTTTCCAGCACAAAATGAAATGTTACAGAAGAATGTTTGTATGTCAGTAAAGAAAGCAGCATATTACGTAAGAGACCACTTTTCAGACAAAAACATAATGAATGCTGCTGAGATTTGCTGCAGAAATAAGACGCCAAAGTGACAGTCAAAGTCTCCAGAAGAACCGTGTCTGGTTCTGCAAGATGTTCAATAAAACTTTTTTTAAAGCTAATTTCCATACTTTTTTAAAGCAAAAGGTCATCATACAAAATATATATTGGCTTTCATTTATTACTGTTTAATGTTCTTGATAGTTTTTTTTAAATATAGAAACATTTAATTCAATTGTTTTAAGGCATCTTCAGCATATCTTTGCGTGTACCTAAGACTTTTTACAATACTGAAGCGGCTGTGTTTAAGGAGGTAGAGCGGGTTGTCCACTAATCGTAGGGTTGGCGGCTTGATTCCACATGACTCCACATGCCGAAGTGTCCTTGGGCAAGACATTGAACCCCAAGTTGCTCACGATGGCAAGTTAGCGCCTTGCATGGCAGCTCTGTTACCATTGGTGTGTGTGAATGGGTGAATGAGACACAGTGTAAAGCACTTTGGAACCACCAAGGTTAAAAAAGTGCTATATAAGTTTATATGGCAGACCAATTACCATTTACTGTTTAACTAAATTAAAACTAAACAGTTAAAAACATATACTAATTAAAAGTAAAAAAAAAAAAAGCCTGAAAATATTTAAATATCCTGATGCCACCTGCCAACTGTGGTTCTACAGAAGTCACCTTGTTCTTTATTGAGAAGAACAATTATTTTATTCAGAAAATTTATGTTCATAAGATGTTTAATGTACCAAATCTTGACTAAAATATATTCAAGATGAAGCAGAACATTTTGATCACATTGTCCTGTGTTAATTAACCCTGAGCACCTCAGCTGGCAAAGAGCTGATGCTGATGCCCAGGATGACTGTTCTGTGCCAAGCTGATGAGTTGAAACCACCCACTGCCACTTTTGTGTCCACGTGTCATTTCCTGCCATCAGTAGAGGCAGCTGAACGTGTTCCATGAATAAGTGATGGGGCTGGGAAAGGGATAGGAACAGGATAAGAGGGAGGGAGAGCAGCATGATGGGAAGAGAGAGCAGGAAACCTGTCAGTGCTTGATCCACTCCATCAGGCAAAAAGGTAGGTGTGGAATGAGGACACCTGGCCATTCTATACGCAGCAGAGCATGTTGATGCCACTCCGTTATATGAAGATTCATCTCAAAAGGTTCCAGGGCACGGCCCGCATGGACCAACCAGCCAAGAGCTCTTGCCTAGAGAATGGCCAGCAGATGACCTCTAAGAAGACATTTATGTTCTACTCACAATATAAACGCAATTACTAGTGAATTCATTGCTTTGTCTTTTTTTTCATGTTTTCCCTGCAATCCATTCATTTCTCAGCTAAGTGTGTCATTTTGAATCAGCAGATCTTTTTAGTATTTTCAGAACACCAGTGTATAGATATGCATGATGCAGCCTTGAGATGAATTAGCATTAATTATTTTGGTTAATATTTATAGTATAATAGGACCACAGTATGAATGTAAATGATATCTGAGAATTTATTCACTAAAACATATCAACCAACATAATAAATGATATCAATAGCTTAGCTAGTTAATTTCACATGTATTTTTATTTTATGATTACTGTTGTCACGTCACGTAGACTGGAGGTGGATGCAGGTGCAGATCAAAGTCTTTATTAAACTTAAAACACAAAACACAAAATAAACGCGGTCTTCAAAGGAAAACTTGAATTGGGAAACGTGGCACAACAATATCCTTCATGGCATGAAGACAAACGACACGACCGCTACAAATACTACAACTAATAATACTGAGCGACGTGCTCAGTAACCAAGGCGTTCTTATCCTAAACATAATCAAACACAAAACATCAACACCTGTGTCAATTTAAAGTCTCTATAGTTAATGCTCACTCTGGAAGCAAGCGAACCATAACAATGTCATGTGACTTGACCGAAGACGAGCTACAGTGCCATCTGCTGGCCGTATCGTAACAGACCCCCCCTCCAAACGGTGCTCGTCCTAGAGCACCAAGAATCCCCCTCCAACGGGGGTCCTGAGCCCCTGTAAGAGTTGTCTCTCGCTGCCATGGAAAGTGAGGCAGCCTCCGTCGGACAGCAGATGGGCGGAGCAGTACCCTCACCGGGGTTGAAAGTCGGGGCACCGCCCCCTGGCTGGGCAGGGCAGCGGGACGGCCTCCTTGGCTGGGCTGGACAGCAGGACAGCTTCCTCATCTGTGCATGGCAGCGGGATGGCCTCCTCAGCTGGGCTGGACAGCAAGACAGCTTCCTCGGCTGTGCAGGGCAGCGGGACGGCCTCCTCAGCTGGGCTGGACAGCAGGACAGCTTCCTCGGCTGTGCAGGGCAGCAGGACGACCTCCTCAGCTGGGCAGGACAGCAGTATAGCTTCCTCGGCTGTCAGAAGCTCCCCCGCAGAGACCTCCCCGTAGGCCTCAAGCTGTAGCTCTGAGGTCGCCCTGTTGACCTCAGGTGGGAGCGCCACAGCTGAGGCCTCACCGTAGGCCTCAGACTGGAGCTCTGCTGTCCTTGTTGCCCCCCACTCCAAGAAAATTCTGGGCCAGCCTTCACCTCTGGACTGCGCGGCTTGGTGCAACTCCCCTGCAGTGAGAAGCCCCATATGTTCCGGCCGCTTTGCTGGCTTCATTGCATGGCGTGGTTCTCAGGTGGCGGGGACAGGGTAAAGGG